ACTGCACTGGACACGCCGCGCGGTGCCCTGTCACATCTCAGCGGCCATGGCTGACGAGCCCGCAGGCCAAAGCTTACAGGACGCGGCGCTCTCGACGCTTTTTGTGCCACGTCGCTTTTGTTGGCCCGCTTTGACTTTGTTTTGCTTTGTTTTGCTTTGTTGTGTTGTCGGCGCGGCTAATTAAAATTTTTGTAAATGTAATATGTAGGCAACTTTCGGCGTTTTTCTGTTTGCCTGAATATATTTAACCTGGCCATGTTGCTGTTCACCTCGTCCAGCAGTAAACGCATTAATGTTTAGAAGCGGCCTTTTGTGATTGTGCAGAGGGCCAAGATACGGGGTAAACGGCCAGCTGGATTTTTCTCGTCGTCCTGCCTAGAGGCAAATGACCTTGTGCCGTTCCAGACAGCCGAGTGCGGCGCAATTAGCTGCACAACTTGGCCCTAAGATTAATGGCGCTTTTTGGCCAAGTCCTTTGAGTTGTCGCTGCCTTATTGACTATCGCACCACTCCGCCGCTCCTCGTGTCGCCGGTGTCAATAAAACGCTTGTTCTTGCGTAAATAAAAATAATAAATGATGCCGCCGCACCGTCCGACTGTCGCACCCTCGGACCCGTCGAAAGTTCAGCAGCGAACGGCAAGTAATTAAGCGCATAAATTTTATGACAACTGACAATTGCACACTTCGCAGCCAGACCTTGATGAAATGGAAACTGTTCAAGTCTCTCAGCTGCGAAGCTTTAAGCATGAAACTAGGCATTTTAATAGGCAACATTTAGATCTATATTAAATGGTAGAGAATCATATTGTAATATTAGTAATCATACTAAATAGTACACAAAATATTTATTAAATGAAGACAAAACCATTTTCCCATTTTCAAGTTGTTTATGGTATAAGATAATTATCTTTATTCAAACGAATCATATAAAATTATTATACTTTATATACATATGTAGTAGCACACTTATACTTAAATTTGTTTGGTTTAATTCAAAAAATTCTTCTTAGAAGTGATTGATATGCAAAGCTAATTCTTCCTTATTTTTCCGTTAGTAAAATACTCCTTCAACTCAGGGAGATGGCATACTTTAAATGATCCTTCAAATTGTTGTTGTTAATCTTTCCTATAATATACATATATCTTATATTCTCTGCTTTCGCTCTTCTATTTTAATTTTCTCTTTACTTTTCATTTTGCTTTTCTTACGGTGTTCTTTCATATATGACTCTGAATTTTATACTCTTAAACCATGAAAAGCGAGTTATTTCTTTACTATTTTATTTAATCGAATTTCAGTTCAACTGCTTCAACAGAAAATAATTTAAAACTAGAATTTAATATTTTTAATATTGTTTGTATTTATTTATAATTTTTTTGTAATATTTCCTTTTTATGTAATATATTTTATTTATATTTATTTTGATTATATTAATAATTATGATATATTATTTATTCCTTTTCATTTATTAGTTTTATTTTAATATTTTTTATTTAATTATATTATATTTTTTATTGACTATTTTATTTAATTTAATTTTAGATATTTTTACATTTATTTTTATTTTTATTATTATTTTTATTTTATTATTATTATTATTATTATTATTATTATTATTATTATTATTATTATTATTATT